CATACATGCAGATTCTAAATTCAAGACCAGAAATTAAAATGCAAGTTTCGGTTCCTTTCCCGGTATCCTAAAAAAATAATTACCCCCTATTAGTTTAAAAATGACAAAAATATCTTAAAAGTTTATAAATACACCCTAACAAATTTGATTACTCATTCATTTTGTGTCCAATGTAATCTAAATCCTCTAATCTCTAGCAACACTGAACTCAATCAATTCCTTACAATTTACATAAAATTCCCAATCAAAACTAAACAAAACAATATATTCTACATAATTCACATCAAATAACTTCACCAAAACATTCAAACAAACAAAATATAGAAAGTTAGAAATTGTCACCAACTTTTTTGATTCTCCCACTACTAAATACTAATTTAAGTTTAATGTTATAATTATAATGTTTATAATTTAATATAGTTATGTTGTAATTAATTAAGTAATTATTTATTATAATGTATGTATAATTAATTACGTATCATACTATCAATTATAATATAATGTTATAATTAATAAATTTCTAATTATTATTAAATATTGTACTAATATTTATAATGTATGTTATAATAATTAAAGTAACTACTATAAATTTATAATATAATGTTACAATTAATTAGATTTTTTTTACTCTTAATTAAGTAATGTACTAATGACCAATGTATGTAATAATATATTTATAATGTAATATTATAATTTTAATTAATTAAGTAATCATTTAACTGTATAATGTTAACTAATTAAGTGACATATTATAATGTAATGTTATAATTATTTAAGTATTATTTTACAATAATGTAATGTTATAATCACTTAAATTTCTAATCATTTAATTATTACTAATGTTTATGTTTAATGTTTATAATATAATATAATAATTAATTATGTAATCATTTATTATGTATATATAAATTAAGTGATCATACTATAGTGTAAATTATTTGTTATAATTAATTAAGTATATATATTACTATAATGTAATATTATAATTAATTAAATTTCTAATCATTTAATTAAGTATTGTACTAATGTTTATATAGAATGTTATAATTAATTAAGTAACCATACTATAATTTATAATGTAATGTTTAATAATTAAAATTCATTATTTAATTAGTATTGTGTAAATTACTAATGTTTATAATATATATTTCACATTAAGTAATCATTTATTATGTATATATAGTTATTATATATGATATCTAATATGAATTAAGTAATCATACTATAATCCATAATTTATATTGTAATTAATTAAATTTCTAATCTTTAATTAATGTATTAATGTTTATAGTGGAATGTTATAATTGTTAGTAATCATATAAAATCTATATGTAAGTTAAATAATTAAATTTTAATCGTTTAATTAATAATATATAATTAATAATTGCTAATGTTTATAATGTAATGTTATAAATTTATAACTAATAAGTAATAATTTAATTATGCAATGCTATATTAATTAAGTAACATAATATAATATAATGTAATAATGTTATAATTAATTACGTAATAATTTAATTAAGTAATTATTTGTTTTATATAATGTTTTTCAATTATTAAGTAATCGTACTATAAATTAAAATGTAATGTTAATATGTTATAATTAATTAATTCTAATCATTTAATTAAGTATTATGTTAATGTTTATGTAATAAATTACTACTATTTACAATATAAGTCAAATCAATTAAGTAATCATTTAATTATATATATTAATTAATTATATGACTCATATATAATGTATAATGAATTAACTATCATACTAATAAAATCTATAATTTAATATTATATTTAATTAAATTTCTAATCATTAATTAATATACTAATGTTTATAATGAATGTTAAATGATTAAGTAATCGTACTATAAATCTAAATTAATGTTAATATTAATTAAATTTTTAGTCATTTGATTAAGTAATGTAATAATGTAGTAAATTACTAATGTTTATAATAAATGTTATAAATTTATAATATAAGTATTATTAATTATATAATGCATAATGAATTAATGATCATAATGTAATATATAAATAATGTTATAATTGTAATTAGTAATTATTTAACTAAAATTTAATGCTTAATTAAAATTTCTAATCATTTAATTAAAGTAGCATTTGTTTATAATGTAATGTATAATTATTTTACAATATAATGTCAATCAATTAAAAATCATCTATTATGTATGTTATAATTAATTATGTATCATACTATAATGAAATGTATCATAAATTAAGTAATCATACTTAATCTTTAATATAATATTATATTTATTTGTTTATAATAGAATATTATAATTTCAGTAATTATTAATTAAATATTGTGTTAATATTTTTGTAGTAAATTAGATTACTAATGTTTATATAATGTTATAATAAATTAAGTAATAATTTAATGTATAATGTTAATTAATTATATGATCATACTATAATGTAATGTTATATGAATTAAGTAATCATAGTATAAATCTTTAATGTATATTATAATAATTAAATTTTAATCATTTCATATTTTTGTACAAATGTTATAAAAATGTTTAATTGTAAGTAATATACTATAATCTTAATGTATATATATATTAATTAAATTCTAATTATGTAATTAAGTAATATACTAAATGTTATAAGTCAATTAATTAAGTAGTAATCAATTAATGTTAATGCTAATTAATTTACTATAAATCATTAAGTAATGTTATAAAATTTATAATTAAGTAATCATTTAACTTAATGTAATGTTATAATTGATTAAGTATGATATTACTGGTATTAAATTTAGTTTATCAATTTATCATATATAATTAATTAATTGCTATTTACTATAGATATACTTAAACTTGATAATTGAAGTAAATAACTAATATACTATTATTCAATCAATATACTATTTTATCAAAAATAATTTTTTTACAACATTAAACACTTTAATTAGATCCTAATTCCAATTATACACTTAATTAATCAAAACTTAATATTAATATTAAAGTTTTTAATATGTTGTATTTTATGTAATATATAATTATATATTATTTAATTAGGTTATTCTAAAAATTTAACTTTTCTATTTTATTTTTTATATGTAAATTAATGAAACCCCCCATTATCACAAATATTTCATTGTAGCCGAGGTTCCAAAAACGTTCACAATGGTTTTAAACCGGTACTCGCTACAAGTTCCAAGTTGGTTTCAACCCGGTATCCGTTTCAGGTTTTTTTCTAGGTTCCAGTTCCGATTCCAGTTCCTCCCCACAAAGAATGGAACGGAACCGCACAGTATCGGTTCCATAAAATGGAACTGGAACCTACCCGCACAATATCTATTTCTGGATAGGTTTTGGTTCCGATTCTACCCGCAGGTTCCGTTCTACCTGCTACCCGTGCTCACTCCTAACCAGAGCTCCACTAAAATCATAAATACTCAAATGAAAAATCGAACCTGAAACCGTATGTTATCCATACTATCTCCATTTTGCTCTAACCATCTGAGTTACTGACAACTCTCTTTGAAGAAAATTAATTTTAGGAGAAAATGAGAACCTCATTGCTTAAAATGAAAATTGGCATTGAAAATTTATAAATCAAGTATACACCATCCAAAGAATGAAGTAAATGTTTGAAAATCTTTACTCAAGTTCATCATTAATACAACCAAATTCTTCCTCGTTTACTTTTCTTCTTTTTGTACATCATCAAGAAATTATATTTGGTAAGTGGGTTCATATTAATTATCTAAAATTTCTAAAGTTAGTTGGATTATTAAATCATGGTACAATCAACCCATAGATTATATTTCGAACATTCCAATAATAGTAACGTTACTTCAACGTTGTAACTAACATATCGAAGCTATTTTGGCCATTAGTCTTGCTTTACACCCCGAAACAAAAAAAATAAAATAAAAAATAAAAAAATAAAATAAATTACAGTAAATGAGTGTTCTCTTCTTAATATGTAATGTAAATGATTAAATTTTAAAGTGTATTAAACCAAGTGAAATTTTGTTATATATTATTGCGGGTTGTTTTATTTTTACCATATATCGTTTCTTTCCATATAAAACCATTAAATTGGTCTAAATGTCAGAGGGAACGTCGAATTATAACACTCATGTAGCACGTGAACATATAAGACAAAACAAATAAATGATTACATTAAACCAAGTGAAATATTGTTATTGTGGGTTGTCTTATTTTACCATGTATAACGTCTTTCCTTAAGAACCATTAGATTAATCTAAGCGTAGCGGTCACTCCACAAAAACTATTAAAATTAATCTGATCGTATCTTAACCGTTAGATTAATCCACGGAAAATGTTATACTCACAATCTCTTCTCACAAACTTACTCTCATAATCCCGATGTAGTAGTTCACAATTGGTCAACTCGTAATAGGTCTCACTTGAGCTTTACCTGATAAATTGCGATTTACCAATTATAAACCGTCACATCGAAGTTGTAAGAAGAAGTTATAGGTGTAATATTATTCTTAATCTAAACATCATCGACAATTGTCATTTCATCTAAGCCATTAGATTAATCTAAACGTCAAAGTGATTGTCTTTTTATTTATTTATTTTTTTGATAACTAAAATGTTTGGGTTAGTTTGCGTATACCTTAACTAATTTTTTATGTCTATTAAATACTTTATAAATCCAAAAAATAAAAAATGAGATAAACTATAATATTTAAATCCAAAAACTTAAAAAAAAAAAAAAAAAAAAAAACCTCTTTTACCCCTAACCAATCCCTATCATTTCATATCAACTATTAGATTAAGTGGCTGTCACTCCATCTTAACCATTAGATTTTATATGAACCGTTAGATTAATCTAAACATAGGAAGTGAGGGTACGATGGACCCCACAACACGTGGCAAACATGTTTCTTGGAAAATAACTTCCCCTCAAATAAAAACCCAATAAACAACCAACACAGGGCATCTAAACAGAGTGGCTGAAGTAAGTAAACAGTTGAACACAACAAAACACGACAGAAACAGGAACAACTCATTGAGTGTACAAAACTTTTCCTATAAAACCAAGGCAAAAACTAACGAACATTTCACAGCCAACTCTCTCTTTAATACAACACAACTCAACTCAACTCAGCAGCAAGATGAGTAATTTGAAATCCAAGTTCTTGGAGGTTTACTCTCTCTTAAAAGAGGAGCTCCTCAATGACCCCGCCTTTGAATTTACGGACGTTTCTCGCCAATGGGTCGAACGTGTAAGCCCCATTCAACTTCTTTCTCTTGGTTTTTTTGTTTTTGGNACAAATTTAGAGGGTTTAAAAAAAATTGAATAATATTAAAAATAGTATTCCCAAAAATGAGAGTTTTTGGGTATTTTACTGTTTAACGTTTTTGGTGATACTAAGAGTAGTATTCCCAATCTTGAACCAAACGAAGCCAAGGTCTCCAACTTTACTTTCCAAAATTATTTTAATAAACTTATTCTTCCACAAACAATTTTCTTTTTGATAATTATATTGTTCCAGCAAATTTACACACACCTCGATTAATTTTTAAGAGAGACTAACATAATAACCCACCACCAAAGGTAGGGGTGAGCAGTTCAAGGTACCTTGTATTTTTCGAGGAAACCGGAACCAGAATCGCACAGTGCAGGTTCCCAAAAAAAGGAATCGGAACTGCACAGTGCATGTTCTTAAATTCAAGGAACCGGAACCTAAAATACAGGTTTCGGTTCCTTTCCCGGGTATCCTATAAAAAAAAATTACCCCCTATTAGTTTAAAAAATGACAAAAATACCTTAAAAGTTTACAAATACAACCTTAACAAATTTTGATTACTCATTCATTTGTGTCCAATGTAACTCATAAATCCTCTAATCTTTAGGCAACACTTGAACTCAATCAATTCATCACAATTTACATAAAATTCCTCAATCAAAACCAAAACAAAAACAATTATTCATCACAATTCACATCAAATAGCTTCACCAAAATCATTCAAACAAACAAAAATATAGAAAGTTAGAAATTATCACCAACTTTTTTTATTCTCCCACTAGTAAATACTAATGTAGTAAGTTTAATGTTATAAATTATTAATGTTTATAATGTAATATAGTTATGTTGTAATTAATCAAGTAATTATTTAATTATAATGTAATGTTACAATTAATTACGTGATCATACTATACATTTATAATGTAATGTTATAATAAATTAAATTTCTAATTATTTAATTAAATATTGTACTAATGTTTAATGTTATAATTAATTAAGTAATTATACTATAAATTTATAATATAATGTTACAATTAATTAGATTTTTTAACTATTTAATTAAGTAATGTATTAATGACTGATGTAGTAAATTAATAATGTTTATAATAAAATATTATAAATTTATAATTAATTAAGTAATCATTTAACTATGTAATGTTATACATAATTAAGTAATCATACTATAATGTAATGTTATAATTAATTAAGTAATTATTTAACAATAAGTAATGTTATAATCAATTAAATTTCTAATCATTTAATTAATTACTAATGTTTAATATTTATAATATAATGTCATAATTAATTAAGTAATCAATTAATTATGTAATGTTATAATTAATTAAGTGATCATAAATGTTATAATTAATTAAGTAATATAATATTTAACTATAATACAATATTATAATTAATTAAATTTCTAATCATTTAATTAAGTGTTGTACTAATGTTTATAATAGAATATTATAATTAATTAAGTAATCATACTATAAATTTATAACGTAATGTTATAATTAATTAAAATTCTAATCATTTAATTAAGTATTGTGTAAATTACTAATGTTTATAATATAATGTCATAATCAATTAAGTAATCATTTAATTATATAATGTTATAATTAATTATGTGATCATACTATAATGTAATGCTATAATGAATTAAATAATCATACTATAAATCTACAATTTAATATTGTAATTAATTAAATTTATAATCATTTAATCAATGTACTAATGTTTATAGTGGAATGTTATAATTGATTAAGTAATCATACTATAAATCTATAATGCAATATTATAATTAATTAATTTTTTAATCTTTAATTAAATAATGTAATAATGTAGTAAATTGCTATTGTTTATAATGTAATGTTATAAATTTATAACTAATTAAGTAATCATTTAACTATGTAATGTTATAATTAATTAAGTGATCATAATATAATATAATGTAATGTAATAATGTTATAATTAATTACGTAATAATTTAATTAAGTAATCATTTGTTTATAATATAATGTTACAATTAATTAAGTAATCGTATTATAAATTTATAATATAACGTTAATATGTTATAATCTATTAAATTTCTAATCATTGAATGTATTGTGTTAATGTTTATTTAGTAAATTACTAATATTTATAATATAATGTCATAATCAATTCAATAATCATTTAATTATGTAATTTTATAATTAATTATGCGATCATACTATAATGTAATGTTATAATGAATTAAGTAATCATATTATAAATCTATAATTTAGTATTGTAATTAATTAAATTTCTAATCATTTAATTAATATATTAATATTTATAATGGAATGTTATAATTTATTAAGTAATCATACTATAAATCTATAATGTAATATTATAATTTATTAAATTTTTAGTCATTTAATTAAGTAATGTAGTAAATTACTAATATTTATAATGTAATATTATAAATTTATAACTAATTAAGTAATCATTTAATTATGTAATACTATAATTAATTAAGTGATTATAATATAATGTAATGTAATAATGTCATAATTTAATTAAGTAATTATTTAACTATAATGTGCTTAATTAATTAAATTTCTAATCATTTAATTAAGCAATCATTTGTTTATAATATAATGTTATAATTAATATTTATAATATAATGTCGTAGTCAATTAAATAACCATCTAATTATGTAATGTTATAATTAATTATATAATCATATTATAATGAAATATTATAATAAATTAAGCAGTCATACTATAAATCTTTAATATAATATTATAATGTATTTGTTTATGATAGAATATTATAATTAATCAAATAATCATTTAATTATAATCTAATGTTACAATTAATTAAGTAATCATACTATAAATTTATAATGTAATGTTATAATTAATTAAATTTTTAATCATTTAATTAAGTATTGTGCTAATGTTTATGTAGTAAATTAGTAATCACTAATGTTTATAATATAATGTTATAATAAATTAAGTAATCATTTAATTATGTAATGTTAAAATTAATTATGTGATCATATTATAATGTAATGTTATAATGAATTAAGTAATCATATTATAAATCTTTAATGTAATATTATAATTAATTAAATTTTTAATCATTTAATTAATTATTGTACAAATGTTTATAATGAAATGTTATAATTGATTAAGTAATTATACTATAATCTATAATGTAATGTTATAATTAATTAAATTAATTATTTAATTAAGTAATATACTAAATGTTATAAGTCAATTAATTAAGTAGTAATAAATTAATGTAATGCTATAATTAATTATACTATAAATCAATTAAGTAATATTATAAAATTATAATTAATTAAGTAATCATTTAACTATAATTTAATATTATAATTGATTAAATATGATATTTAACTGGTAATTAATTTATTAATATTTATCAATTTATCATGTCCTAATTAATTTCTAATTTACTATAGATATACTTAAAACTTGATAATTGAAGTAAATACTAAATATATTATTATTCAATCAAATATACTATATTATTCAAAAATAATTTTTAATAACATTAAAACACTTTAATTAGATCTAATTCCAATTATACACTTAATTAATCAAAACTTTAATATATATTATATATTAAAGTTTTTAATTGACGTAGTTTATATGTAATAAGTATAATTATATATTTATTTAATTAGGTTATTCTAAAAATTTAACTTTTTCTATTTAATTTTTTATTTTTTTTATGTAAATCTAGAAACCCCCCATTATTCACAATTTTCATTGCAGCCGGTTCTAAAAATCGGTTCCAAACAGATTTAAATCGGGTACCCACTATAGGTTCCAAGCAGGTTCCAAATCGGGTATCCGTTTCAGGTTTCTTTTTCCATGTTCGGCGTTCCTCCACAAATAAATCTGGAATCGGAACCGCAAAGTTCAATTTCATAAAATGGAACTGGAACCTACCGCACAGTGTCAATTTCGGAGGTTCCTTCTGATTCTACCCGCTACCCATGCTCACTCCGTCCAGAGGCTCCACCAAATCATGAATACTCAAATGAAAAATCGAACCTGAAACCGTATTTTTATCCATATTATCTCCATTCGCTCTAACCATCTGAGTTACTGACAAACTCTCTTTGAGAAAAATTAATTGCAAGGAGAAAATGAGAACCTCATTCTTAAAATGAAATTGGCATTGAAAATTATAAATCAAGTATACACCATCCAAAGCATGAAGTAAATGTTTGAAAATCTTTACTCAAGTTCATCATTAATATAACCAAATTCTTCCTCGTTTACTTTTCTTCTTTTTGTACATCATCAAGAATTCTATTTGGTAAGGTGGTTCATATTAATTATCTAAAATTTCTAAAGTTAGTTGATTATTAATCATGGTACAATCAACCCATAGTTATATTCGACATCCAATGATGGTACATTACTTCAACGTTGTAACTAACATCAAAGCTATAATAAGTTAGGTTATAAAACACATTAAAAGATGGTTACAAGAAGACTAAGAGATACACATCCATCATGGTACGTAAATGCAACAATTATGCTGATTTCTTAGCAAACCTCACTTTTAATTTCGATCCTCGACTTTATGTCTTCTGAGTATGCAACTTTAGGTATTGATAATCTCCTTAGGATTTAGGAATGATGCTTGAGTGATGTTTTCATTAAGTAGTCATGGCTTCTTTGTAGCTTATATGCTTCGTTTTTTCTATTTTTGGTTTTAGCCCTGTTTTTCACCCAAAAAAAAAAAAAAAAAAAATTACAATAAATGAGTGTTCTCTTCTTAATATGTAATGTAAATGATTACATTTTAAAGTGTATTAACCAAGTGAAATTTTGTTATATGTTATTGCGGGTTGTTTTATTTTTACCATATATAGTTTCTTTCCATATAAACAAACCATTAAATTGATCTAACATCAGAGGGAACGTCGAAGTATAACACTCATGTACACGTGAACATATAAGACAAACAAATAAATGATTACATTTTACCATGTATATCGTCTTTCCTTAAGAACCATTAGATTAATCTAAGCGTAGCGGTCACTCCAAAAAGTACTAAAATTACTGCACTTATCTTAACCATAGATTAATCTACCAAAAATATTACACTTACAAACTTACTCTCGTAATCTTGACATAACAGTTTTGTAATTGATCAATTTTAATAGATCTCATTTGAGCTTCACCTGATAAATTACAATTTGTTAATTACAAGCTATCATATCAGAGTTATGAGAAAAAATTTATGAAAAGAAGTCGTAGATATAACATTACTCTTAATCTAAACATCATCGATAATTATCATTTCATCTAAGCCATTGATTAATCTAATATCAAAGTGATTGTCTTTTTTATTTATTATTTTTTTGATAAGTTAGATATTCAGACTAATTTATGTATACTTAATCTTAAAGTCTATTAAATACTCTACGACTTTTAAGATTAGATATCCATATAATGTTATTATGGCGACGAGCTAATACAAATCTAGAAATTCTAGAAATAATAAACCTGTCAAATCAACCTCTATATTTCATATCAACTGTTAGATTAAGTGGTGTCACCATCTTAACCATTAGATTTTATATGAACCGTTAGATTAATCTAAACATAGGAATGAGGGTACGATGGACCCCACAACACGTGGCAAACATGTTCTTGGAAAATAACTTCCCTCAAAAAAAAAACCCAATAAACACCCAACACATAGCATCCAGCAGAGTGGCTGAAGTAAGTAAACAGTTGAACACAACACACCACAGAAACAGGAACACTCATTGATGTACAAAACTTTTCCTATAAAAACCAAGCAAAAACTAACGAACATTTCACAGCCAACTCTCTCTTTATACAACAACTCAACTCAACTCAGCAGCAGATGAGTATTGAAATCCAAGTTCTTGGAGGTTTACTCTCTCTTAAAGAGGAGCTCCTCAATGACCCCGCCTTTGAATTTACGGACGTTTCTCGCCAATGTCGAACGTGTAAGCCCATTCAACTTCTTTCTCTTGGTTTTTTTGTTTTGGTGTTTTTTTGTTTTCTGTTGTTTGCTTGTGTTTGTTGTTGTGATGATGAATGTTTTTGGCGTAAGTGTTTGGTTGGTGGGGTTTTATTGGTGTTTATTTTGATGTGTTTCAGCCGGTTAGAGATTGGTTTTAATGGCTGTAAAAATAATTGTTGTTTTCCAGATTAGTTAATGCTTAAGTAGGAAAGATTTGATTTTGGTAAACTTTTATGATGGAATGTAGAATAGTTAGTTTCCCTTTTGAGAACCCTGGATTTGGATCGTAGATTTGGATTTATTTTAGCTGATTTTGGATCTTTTGACAAGTGCCTGGGTTTTAATTCGATCAAAATCTGGCCTTGAAGTTGGTAATCTGATGAAATGAGAAATGTTGATGTTAAAGTTTTAGTATTTTGTTTAAGGTAAACTTCAGCCTAGATTTGGTTCAATGAACATAGATTTGTGTTGTAAACAGTGGACTGAAAATGTTTGGTATTTGCCATGAAGTTTAAGTCAAGAGTAAGGTGGCTGAAAGAAATGAGCTGAAAGTGTTTGCTTTTTTTCCAGTTAGTCAAAGTAAATGGTGGCTGGAAGTTAAGAAGGATTTTTTTTTTTTTAAAAATTTGGGAAGGGGGGGTGGGGGTTGTGAGTTTGGGAGGTAAAATCTCATTATTGTATTTAAAACTATTGCAAAGGTCATCATGTTAGTTGGTAGTTGAGAAGGCAAAAAGGTGGAAAGTGATTGATTGAACCATCCGTATGGCACTTGAGAAGAATGGGTATTCGAGTATTCAATTACATGGGCCATTGGATACACTTGAGTTCTTTTCAATTCTTTTAGTGCAATTTTTTACTTTTCAAATACCTTGTACCCAAGAGTTCTGTATGATATCTGTTCCTTCTTTAGTAGCTAATGAAGATTTGCGAGTTCTGATCATGGCTATGTGCTCTGTTGTTGCAGATGCTGGATTACAATGTAACTGGAGGTTGGATAAATTTTTTACAACTTGTAAACTCTTTGTTTTGTTTATTCGAGCACTGGACATTCTGTCCTCTGAGGAAAAGAAACTGCTTTCATTTTGAGTAGAAAACATAGAGTCCTCCTATTCTAATTTCTGTTACCGATTGTATTCTGGACAGGGAAGCTGAATCGAGGGCTATCTGTTGTTGACAGCTATAAGTTACTGAAAGAAGGGAAAGAACTAACAGATGAAGAAATTTTTCTTGCGTCTGCACTTGGCTGGTGTATCGAATGGGTATGGCTGTAGGTTGATTCTTGTGTTTTCAATGTCATACATTAGGATTATTAGTACTGCATTCATCTCCTTCTCTTGTACTGAAATTGTAAACTGTCTTGACAATGAGTCTTGTAGCTTCAAGCCTACTTTCTTGTTCTTGATGATATCATGGATGGCTCTCATACACGTCGTGGTCAACCTTGCTGGTTCAGACTTCCAAAGGTGTGAGTTCGTAGTAGGAATTGTCAGGGGTTATCAATTGATTTGAACTGGTTAGCCTGTTAAAGATTATAGGAACTAGAGATTTTTCTGCTGCTGTTCAGCATCTTGGGTGCCGTTAAAATTTTCAACTTCTGTTATTCCTATCACAGATTGGTATGATTGCTGTAAATGATGGCATACTGCTTCGCAATCATATCCCCAGAATTCTGAAGAAGCATTTTAGGGGAAAGCCTTATTATGTGGACTTGTTGGATTTATTTAATGAGGTAACTTGTCTTTTCATTGGCTATAGATCAAGACCAGTTGGTTTTAGATAAAACCTTCTTCTTTGCATTGGTATGAATCATGTTTATCCAGGTCGAGTTTCAAACAGCTTCGGGACAAATGATAGACTTAATTACCACAATTGAGGGAGAGAAAGATCTAACAAAGTACTCATTGCCACTGTAAGTAACAATGTTGTGATAGTTGTGATTTCAATTGGTTTAACCCCAAAACAAGATGATATCCTTTTCTGTTTTAACATATTATATGGATGTTTTTCCATATAGTCATCGCCGCATTGTTCAGTACAAAACTGCTTATTACTCTTTTTACCTTCCGGTAAGTAAATTTCTGTATCTTATGTTTTTATAACTTTTACTGCTGGTTGATTTTTTTTTTTTTTTTCATGTCTCAAATTCCCTTCTTATGGGCTTTCAATTGAAGTTTCTTCAGAGTAAATTTGTTGATTGCTTAGATTCACATTATTTCATCTCCTTCAAACCATAGAAGAAAAGATCAATTCTTTGTAATTTTTGTGTGTACTCTTTGTGAAATACTTGTTTATGTTAGGATTTGACATTTTGTTGCTTCTTATCTGCCAATTCTTCCAGGTTGCTTGTGCTTTACTTATGGCTGGCAAGAATCTTGATGATCATATTGACGTCAAGAACATCCTTATAGAAATGGGAGTCTATTTTCAAGTGCAGGTAATATTAAAAGTTATTCGTTATAATCGAGTTTTATCTTTTTTCTCCATGTCTCCTCAACAATCAAATAGATATATATTTGTTTTAATCCTGATGAGAGTTGAGATGTTTTTACTCGGTTTGACCAATGCGTTGGTATATTCTGTAGGATGATTATCTAGATTGTTTTGGCACTCCTGAAGTGATTGGTAAGGTAATGTACTGCTTAGCTTGCAGTAATGTGCTCAACTGTGTTTCACATAATTTAATGATGTGTCTGATGACTTGAGTGTTGGTTTTTCGTACTATTAGATTGGAACTGATATTGAAGATTTTAAGTGCTCTTGGTTGGTTGTGAAAGCGATGGAACGTTGTAATGAAGAACAAAAGAAATTGTTGATTGTAAGCATAAATCTCCATCCTCTCTGCATTTTACTGTGTTCTGTGTATTATAGTTATAGGATTTAACCATACATATTTTGTTTCCCAGGAGAATTACGGAAAAGAAGATCCAGCCTGTGTTGCAAAAGTGAAAGAGCTTTACAATACAATTGATCTTCAGGTTTGTCTTTACATTTCCTTTCTGTTTATATCTCAGAGAATCAACATTTTTCTTCATTATGCATAACAACCAACTCATCCTATAAACATAAACGCAAGTTCAGCTATTTGTTGACGCAACCAAGAAAATTGCCACGTAGTAGCCTTATGTTGTCATCAAAGGTATACATTTTCTTGTTGTGGTAATACGCTCAACATATTACGGGGTACTTTTGTAGGGTGCATTCGTAGAGTACGAAAGCGAGAGTTACGGAAAGCTGATAAAATCCATTGAAGCTCATCCCAGTAAGGCCATTCAAGCTTTGTTGAAGTCATTTTTAGCCAAGATATACAAGAGGCAGAAGTAGAATCTTCATCTATCAATAGACAAGGACTAGATGAGTAGCTATCTGAATTTTTTTTTTTTTGCCTATTTTGTGTTGTAACCTCCAAATGGAAGTGAATAAGTGTGTGTATTTTTTTTATGAACATTTGAGTTACTTTTGTTTCTCAATCAACTTCCATTTTCTCAAGGGAGAATAAATGTATTCTCAGGAGTACTCTATAATTGAAAGCCCTTCTGTGCTGCCATTTATATTGAATGAAACTTTGTTCATTACTTAATGCTTCCTAGAATATAATGGTAAACACATACTACCTTTATGCCATGTTTGGAGCGTGGGATATGCTTCTCCCNAGCCTGTGTTGCAAAAGTGAAAGAGCTTTACAATACAATTGATCTTCAGGTTTGTCTTTACATTTCCTTACTGTTTACATCTCAGAGAATCAACATTTTTCTTCATTATGCATAACAACCAACTCATCCTATAAACATAAACGCAAGTTCAGCTATTTGTTGACGCAACCAAGAAAATTGCCACGTAGTAGCCTTATGTTGTCATCAAAGGTATACATTTTCTTGTTGTGGTAATACGCTTAACATATTACGGGGTACTTTTGTAGGGTGCATTCGTAGAGTACGAAAGCGAGAGTTACGGAAAGCTGATAAAATCCATTGAAGCTCATCCCAGTAAGGCCATTCAAGCTTTGTTGAAGTCATTTTTAGCCAAGATATACAAGAGGCAGAAGTAGAATCTTCATCTATCAATAGACAAGGACTAGATGAGTAGCTATCTGAATTTTTTTTTTTTTTTTGCCTATTTTGTGTTGTAACCTCCAAATGGAAGAGAATAAGTGTGTATTTTTTTATGAACGTTTGAGTTACTTTTGGTTCTCAATCAACTTCCATTTTCTCAAGGGAGAATAAATGTATTCTCAGGAGTACTCTATAATTGAAAGCCCTTCTGTGCTGCCATTTATATTGAATGAAACTTTGTTCATTACTTAATGCTTCCTAGAATATAATGGTAAACACATACTACCTTTATGCCATGTTTGGAGCGTGGGATATGCTTCTCCCAATGGCTATATCAGATCCATAGCAGAGGATAGCTTCTCCCAATGGCTATATCAGATCCAGTTTATAAGCACATCAACTAATCATTGGGATCTATTAGACACTTTAAAAGTCTAAAGAACCATGTAAGTTACAATGTGATAGATGATCTCAATGTTTGAACCCAAAAACTCAAAGAAGTAAGCGAACCTCCTTGATCGGGCTAACCCCTTGAGGTTAAACAATTTTACTTTTACATTCAAGAATTGGTAAAATACTAAAATGTTAGTTGTTTGGCGAAACGGTTTACACATTAAATCCCTTAAACCGTAATAATAAATGGATAAAAATGTTGTTCGAGGGTGACAACATTAATTTCCTAAAATTAGAGGGAAAAAGAGTTTTCAATTAAACGTATGGATACAAAAGCTAGAAAATACATTTTGAATAAATAATTCTACTTCACATTCAAGAATCGCAAAAATACCAAAATGGTCAATTGGTTGGCGAAACGGTTTACCCAAAATTTAATTGATTTAAAATATCGTTTCTATCCCTTAAACCGTAATAGTAAACGGATAAAATGTTGTTCTAATCCAATCTGGTTTAATCTTTTTTGGTAATAATTTCTTATTTTTATCCAAGCTGAAATGCTAATTTACTTAAACTATTTATAGTCAAGCACAGCAGTTTCATTCATATTTGAGGCTCAGATTTGTTGATAGGTGTCTCCACATATTTAGAACTGCAATTAGAAAGTCCAAACCAGAATTATAGCAGTATTTACAACTGTTACTGATCTGTTTGAAACCTCTAAGTTGAGTCATTTTGTAATTCTATTGGTATTGCCCTGTTCCTGTGCAAGAATTCTACATATTTCATATCATATCCAAGGCCGAGTTATTTCCCCTTTACATCCTTGTCCTCTGCAATAGTATAACAGCTTAGAGATTCATTTCTGCCTGCAAAATTTCTGCACTTGGAATAATGAGGTGATCATCTAACTTTTTTACTCTTCATATTCTTGTTTTATAAGTATCTCGTGTCAAGCGGATTCGAGTCTGAATATCTCTTTGATGTTGTTGTTCAATTGGATAGATCTCGATCGGATTATCATCATTTATCTTTTTCTTGTTTTCATACGTTATACATAGAAGAAAAAAAAGTCTCATGTCAATTAGGTTTTAGTTCGATTATTCTTATATATCGGCAAATGTTATTATAAGAAAAATTAACCTGTTCATGGTTATTGAATTATATCACCGACATATATTATTATTGGAAAATCAATTTGTTAACGTTATCATATCTAATATTATAATCCTATAAATACATATTCATGGGAATGTAACATGCAAATGATAATCTTCAAATAACAATCGACTAGATAATCAATATGTTCATGTTTTCATCAGAAAATCGATTCGATAATGTTATCAAACCTAATATTACAACAAGTATGTAACATGCAAATAATGAATTTTATATATTCTGCATGAAATCTTTACGTCTCGTTATGTTTTGTATCCAAAGCATGAACGGAGAAAACATCACGAGCGAAAGTGAGGATAATCAGCAATCACCTCACGGAATTGCCACAACTCCTAAAAAGACTTCACAAATATCAATTCCATCAATCAACATTGGAGAGATGAAGAGACAATCATCCTTCCAAGGCTCACCTCGCTTGCAGAAAGGCCTCGGAAAGTCTTCGAGTACACGGTGCCTTTGCTCGCCCACCACGCACGTCGGCTCCTTCCGATGCCGCCACCATCGAGCTTCTGGAATGTCTAGAGGAGGCTCAGTTGGCTCCAATCTTGCCCTACTTGGAGCCACCAAATCAGGCTCTAGTTGAAACCAAAACCCTAGCTCATGATCACTTGATAAAAAAATGATTAATTTTTCCAATGAGCTAATTAGTGGTTAAGTTACTATATATAATTTAAATGTGTGTGTTGACTACTGATAAAAATCAAATGAAAATTAATTATTGTCCTGATTATGTATATATATAAGATGGGACAATAATTAATTAATTAATTAATTAACCTATAAGCCTCTCCTTCAGGGTTGATACTTTGTTATACTCTAAGAGAGCAGCTGCAATGAGTCAGTAGTAATCTTGTATTTTGGTGCTTTTTTTTTATTTTTTTATTTTCACTTTATATGTCAAGGATGTTAAAGGGAAATTAAGAAACTTTGGTTATGTCATTTTATTTATGTATATGAAATATGCACATTATATAATTAATTCATGCTCGTTTCAATCGCGTAATATTGTCGTATTAGTAACAACCATAATGTTACCATATTAGTAGTGACTAATTATGGATTCAATTCTTATTTTATAGTTATCATCGGCTCAATAATATTGTTATCAGATATATAAATCTATTAACCTTTCATTTTAGTTTTATTATATGACTCAATTATGATTTAAACTCAATTCTATCGTGCGCACCAAGCACTACCATGACATAATTGAGACAAATAGTATATGATCATATAAAGTTTAATTATATTTATTCGACAAAATCTGTAAATTCTTTATATGATTTATAGAGCTTTTAAAAACAAGTCAACGGTTAACCTAGATTATAGGTTAATATTATTCGTCATTTAGATTTCTGAATCGTAAATCAAAAGTTGACTAAATCGTAATTCAAACGGTTTAAACGAAGATAATGTTGTAAGAGTCTTTTTAAAATAATTAATTGATATGTAAACTTCAACCCTTCATTATTTTTTGAGGATTTCTCGCAATTCACGTTGTCAATTTTATGTTGTGATATTTTGTTTTATTTTACATTGTAACATATAATATGTAAAATATTACAGTTATCAGCTTTTAGCATATAGTATGATCTTATATTATATAATTACATAAATAAAGAAAAAAAAAATTCCCCATAAATTTGTCGAAGTAAAGCTTGAATAAAACGGTGTCGTTTCAGTAAACACATACCATATCGCAACGGAGCCGTTTTGAACTTGTCGTCCCACATCATCCGCCAGTCATCTTCACCGCCTTGTTGGCCATAAAATCCCAAACCCCGCTAGCTCCAGAAAATCTCTCCATTCCCTGTGTGACGCGAGGTTCATTATTCATCAAGGTACGAACTTTTATCTCTTTTCGCTCTATGTTCGGTTCGTTTTACCCTGTTTGTCTCCTGATAAAACGCCACAAATTGATGAAATTTTGATTTTTTTTTTCTTCCGTTTTGGTTTCCTCGCTGTTTGCAATCCAAAAAACACAAACCCGTCTCCCAGTTTCAGCCCTATTCGACGTTTGGTAATTTTGATGGAGAAGCTAGGTTTTTTTTTTTCTGGATAGATTATTGTATGTTGGTTACGGTTGTTCTTGTAGAACAATTGTGGTTAGTTTGTAATTATTTGTTATTTTTGTTGTTCAATGGGGGTTTTGATTCAGTGATTAATAGAAGAAGATATATTTGTTTATTTTTTAAAGGGTTTGGCTGTAAATCCAAAAATTCGATTTTTAAGAATAGAAATATGAACTTGAGTAATTTGGTTGAAATATATCATTTTTTTCAACAAATCTTGATTAGTTTGAGCTTGTTTTCAGGTGATCATCTCCATCGCAGTCAAGATGCCTGTGTTGAATGCAACTAGTATTTCCACATCACCTTTGTTGATACCAGGTATATTTGTATATATATGAATAAATATAGATATAGATTTGCTCTTGTAGTTTTGCTCTTCGCAACATATTTATATTTGTCCATTGGTGATGCAAGAGTGTGGAGTGATTTACTTGGCAGATTATGATATGAGAATGTTTACGACACATTATTGATGTGTGTTTAGGAAGATATGTTAGCCAGGAAAAAGGGAGAATGAAGTTGTTTTTTTATTCTTTTTTGCTTTTTTTAATTTTTTTGAGATACAACTCTTAAGGGACAAATCCATGTATGTTTACATGGTTGGCACCCATAAACAAATGTGGCCTGCAATATAGAACCAATTCAACCTTGGTTGATATTTAGCATTATATAATTTTTTGCCATTTATTTTGTGGTTTATGTTGATTTCCCCTGCTTTACATGGTATGCATAGAATTTAGGAAGAGAGATAGAGAGAATGCAAAGAAATTCGATGATCTTTGTTAATGCCATCTTTATTTTTGGGAAACTGATTTTTGTTCAAATAGAAAAAGAAGAGTGGACTTTCTGCATGATACCTTATTAATAGCTTTTTGTTTGCGGCATTGACAACATTATTTGATTGTTTTGTGGTTCATGAGATTAATGGATTGGTATTAGCATTGGTACTGATGTGTGATACACTTGTGTACAGCAAAAACAGGGAACTGGTGTAAAGAGCAAATTAAGCTTTCTGAATGTCGTCCAGCAAGGATTTCCCTGCAATTTCAACCTGCTATTGCTCCAGCTGGGCTTGGCTTGCAGTTACTACCTATTAATAAAAGAAGAATACGGTCTGCTGTAGTATATGCTTCTACTTCGGTAGGTTCTATGTGTGACTTACTTCTACCATTATGTCCTTTCTCGTTTACTTGATTTGATAGATTTATCTCTTAAGCAGAACTTGTTCTGGCTCTAATGAAAATCTGAAGGCTCCTCTTGTTAAACTTTAACGTAGTTATGAGTGGAAGTCATTTTGTTTTGTTAGCTGTAATTCAGTATTAAGGGTGCAGAAAATCGGGAAATATGATATTTTGTGCTAGCTGCTTTATTTTTTTAGTCTCATTAATAAAAATTGATTAGAAAATTGAGAACTCCAGAAGTTGAGCATGTGTTTGGTTATTTTATTTTTGCTTGGGTTTGGTAGAGATGCCGAAGTTTGTTCCTAGAAATGTAACTGAGGAATAGAAATTAAAGAAAGTGTATAAAATCTCCTTTGCAAGAAGGAAGAGTTGGTCTAGGAACTGGTCCAGCGTGGACATTGCAAGAAAAATAGAATTTGAAGGTCTTGAGTTTTTTTCTTCTTCGTTATTGCAGGGGCAGACTCAAACTGTTACAAAGCAGGCGCCTACGGTAACAATCACCAATGCTCCTGGTAATAGCCAGTAGCTCAATCTTCTTCCCTCAAAAGCATTATTGTGTTTCATTAGTTTTTTTATAAGCTACCTTAAATTAGCTAACGGTTAACTGAATTGCAGCATCACCAAAACTGGATGATGGTGGGACTGGATTTCCACCCCGCGATGATGATGGTGGTGGGGGTGGTGGAGGTGGTGGTGGAGGCAACTGGTCGGGCGGATTCTTTCTCTTTGGCTTTCTTGCTTTTCTAGGCTTTTTAAAGGATAAAGAAAGCGAGGAGAATTACCGGGACACGCGAAGGAGATGAGAGAAATGATTATAAATTTTGTAAACATATTCCAGGCTGCAGATTTAGTTTGGGTTGCTGTATTCTTTTATGACAATGACAATGAGAATGAGAATTACACCTACTACTTAAAAAAGTTCTCCTTGGAGTTGACTTGTCTACTAATTGTGCTTGAATAGAAATTGAGCTGGTGTTCATGGCCAGAAAATTTTACTGGCATGTGATTTTGATGTAGTTTTCTTCACTCTTTTAAAGCTTAGAAAGACAATTAAGTAAAGTTATGAAACAATAATTATTAAGCAGAAGAGATTGGAAGATGATGACATATGTTCAACCCATTCAATTAAAGTATAATGTTAATTAATTTATGGTATTTAAGATTGATTGTTGCAACTTTTATAATAGTTGATATCTCAAATTATATGTACAATTTCAACGAGCATTGGAGCAAAGCCTTGTGTAATAAAATTACGTTCTTGAAATTTGCTAGGCCTTCAAGTCTACCTTTACAAAATTAAAATTACAAAATGAGAACCTATATTACTAACTCTAATCTGGCCTCCAACGCGGGAAAATATACAATGAAAATGAAGAGAGAAAAAAGGCAAGTGTAAATACAACCTAAGGGTAAAATAACTATAAATCAGGTTGCAATTTTCCAAATACAATTGTTGCTCATTTCTTGGGTCTTGTCCAGGTGGTTTCTGAGGTGATAGTATTTCCATAATAAACCTGCTTTGAAGTTTCATCCCAATACGCCTGTGCGGAATGGCAAAACAAAGAAATAAGAAAACCAGGCATCGAATGCCAACTATTAACGGTGCTAACTAATTTCAGAGCCTACAAACACACCTGCCATCCAGACGGTAGATTCTTTGAGAGATCTACTAAATCGGGCTGCTGCTCATTTCCATCAGTTTGTGTATCTGGTGGACTCCGTGCAGCTTCCTTGGCTGCTTGAGCTCTCCGACGCTTTACTTTCTCACGCCTACCACATAGGAAAAATATACAGAAAATGAGTAAAAGGAAGAAAAGGAAGAACGAGAAATAGAGAGAAACGTCAGTACAGATTATAAGATCTCATACCAATCCCCGCCCAGAGGCTGAAAATTTGCATTATCTTTGGCTTCTCCACTAGCAATTTGCTGTGCATGCCATTCCTGCAAGCAAAGAATGTAAGGCAACAGATCTCATCAATCGAAAATACAGTTTATAAACAAAGAAATCCATTTACAAACCTCTATTGCCCTCCGACGCTTTTTCTCTAAAATCTCATAAGCATTTTCAGGTTCATCTTCATCATCGTTCAACTCCTCCTTAGCCGCTTTCCACTGAAGGAAATTAAGTAAAAACGTTAAATTGTTTCAGATAATTGACAATGAGGATACAGCTTCAAAAAGTAAAGCTGAACATTCAGAAAAAGAAAATACCTTGTCCACCAAACTGGAGACTTTCTTATTGGACCTCAAGGAAGGAGCAACAGCCACCGTTCTCTTTTTGTTTCGCACTGATTAGAAGCAAAAAAATCCAAGTCAAATCAACTACATAATATAATTCATATTAGTAAATCAAATGCTTTTAAGCAAGTAATCACTTAACAAACTCAGGTCATGAGTTATAACTCTGGAGATAATGCTTCAAGAGAAACAGCTAAAAAAGACGGTAGAACGGACATAGAAAGATTCTTCACACTGATGTGAACAGTTGGTTTAAATCATTAAAAGCAGAAGGCAAAACAGCTGTCTCCAAATTTTTCCATGAACATGGGGCCATTGCATGAAAATGTTAAAATCATCAAATAGAGAGAGTGGTAACCATAAGAGTTAAATATCTTATAGATAAAGAAGAGAAAATAAATTTATGTATTCAGAAGTTTTACCTTTAGATTGAACTTTTGTAGTTGATGATGTGGTAGCAGTGGCTGCAGCAGAAGAAACAGCATTTGTTGACACAACAGAAACACTCTCTTTCAGAGAAATACTTGCAGGTGCTTGAATGGTAGTGGAAGTAGAAGAAACCCCGCTGGATCCCATGTTATTCTCAGTACCAACAGAAAAATCAGTTGTCACTGCTGCTACTGCTTCAGAACGAGTATCAACAGATCCAATTGGATCAGAAGCAAGGGCATTGTCACTCATAGGACCAGATTCATGGTACTTCTGAGAAGATTCTATGGCACTCACAACAGACACTGAAGGCATTGTTCCATCTTGAAGGCCATAATATGCAATAGACTGAACAGGGTTAACCATGACCGAAGCAGTCTCATTGTATGTGTTCGGTACCACCCCATAGTATATTGGCACATGAGGCCCATCAACTTGAGATCCATCAGCATTTCCATAGAAATTACTAGTTGGAACTTCAGACGTTTGCCCATAATATGTAAAACTAGAATCAGGATAGGGTAAATTGTATTGCTCCGTGTACGAGAGAGGCTGCCCTGTCTCAATGTAAGATGTGGTTGGGATATATGAAGGTTCAGGCGGCTCATCAGGCGGAGGTGGAGGAACCTGTTCACTATCAGGTGGTGGAGGAGGAATCCATTCTTCATCTGGAGGAGGTGGAATAAAGGAAGCATCCTCTGATGGCAAGGACGGGAGCTCTGCAGATGGATTTGGCTGAACATGTTGCTCCACTGAAGTAAAATCTCCGGCATTTGATAATGTGTTACCAGCAGGAATTGCATCTTCAACTTCCATGTCCACATCCATGTCAACATCTTCCCCAGCATGGAACCCAGGCTCAGGAATGGATTTATCAGGAAGAACCAACCCATCGACCGGCTCCCCAACCATTGGGCCAATCAACCCATTGACTGGCTCCCCAACTGTTGGGCCGTTTTCCAATTGTCCAGTGGGTGATCCAGAAGAAGCAACCTTTTCAGTATCTACAATTTCGTAGGAGCCGTTGTGAACGTCTTTTTCGACTACTGTCAAAGAGTCAGTCTTTGAAGGAACATCAGAAATTAGTGGAGTTGAAAAAGTCACATTGTTCTGATTTTCTTCCATTTGTGATTCCAGCCCTTTCCCAAGTAGTTTATCTTCGCCATCTCCTGTACAAAAACTATGCATTGCCATTACCTCATCCACTTGAGATTTAGCAAGTTGATAGATTTCTTCATTGATTGCACCTTCCAGCCTCTTAAGCTGCCTTTCAGAATGTTGCCAAAACGGCAGCAAAGCTGATCCATAAGATAAAAGTGACTTGATATCAGAAAGTCTTGTCTCAACTTCCAAAACATACTTCAACACCCAGGCATGACCTTGCAGCTGTCCCTTGGACCTGATACAAATATATAATCTATAAGAAAAGATAATAGAACAACATATCAATGCCAGTAATTAAAAGCATATGGAAAAAGGGGGGGAGAGGTGGTGAGAGAGAGAATTAAAACGGGCACTCCTTAATCCATACCCTTCAACTGACTTCAACTTATCAAGCAAACCTTCACACTGTTTCACAAGACCAGAGGAAAGATCAATCACAGTTTTATTTTCTTCATTATTTACAGAACCATGTAAGTATGTCTCAGGAGCAGTTGCAGTTAAACTCCCATCCGCCGATAAAGCATCAACCATGACTCTGCTACTACTTAATTCATTTTGGCTAACACCAGCAGCCCCATTTTCATCTTTCAAAACTTCACTTTCACTTCCTTCAACTCTCTCATTCATTTGAGGCCCGCATTCATATGCATCTCTGCTCTGAGAAATCATATTGGCAGCCATTGGGCCATCAGTGGTTAGTGCCGTCGAATAATAATCAAATTCAACATCCATAGTTGATTCAGGATGAGTGGCCATAACCACAGTCTCTGTATTCTCAGCATTAGTTGTTTTCGGATCAAAGGTCAACTCAGCTGCTTGCACCAAAACCTGAGGTGCTTCCCATGAAGTTTCCCCAGTTTCAATATTCCAATAATAATATTGATTACTCTCTTCATGCAATACCATCTTCCAACCAGAACTCACATCTCCAATTACTTGTACAGCAGAAGTACCGGCAACAGAGGTTTGTTCTGCCATATTTAGTTCTTCATGTGACTGGCCTGAGGCAGTAGCATGACTATCTCTAGTGTCACCAACCTCTGGTTTCTGGAGAGTATCGAGTGAATTAATACATTCATCCTTTTCCTGTTGCTTGACCTCCTGAGCAGCGAGTTCCTCACTACTATTAACATCCTTATCTTCATTTCCTTCACCAAACTGTCCATTAACCTGACAAAATGTAGTACTTAGCATGAAAGGAAATAGAGTTGACAGTGAAGAGTCAGGAAAAATTACAAATGAAATTATTTAATAACTTGTTGCCAAAATATTAATTCTTGGTGAAAGAACTATTAACACCACATTCAAATGAATGTCCCTGCAGCACAACCATGCATTTGAGTGAAAGAGAGAAAGAGGTGAAAGATTTATTGCGATTTGCGGAAATGTTGAATGTTTCGTATCCACCACAGCGAAGCTCCCAAAAGATGAGCAAGCTTATATGCAAGATTTTTAGCTCACAAACCCTAAATAAGCTAAGTATGACCGAACCTCATATTTCTGGTCCCTTTAAACCTAAGTAAGAATGGTTGCAGAATCCACAAATTACCTGCTTCCCATCATCAACTGCAGAGTTTTCCACAACAGCTTGTTGAAGTTGTCCATTTGATTCTTCATCAATTTCATCATCACTATATTGTCCAAGCAATAGCAGCGGATTCTGTTGTGTCTGACCTGTAGACAAAATATAGTGTTGTCAAAAACCTTCAAAACTAATGCTTCATATACGTGGCAACAAAGCATATCAATATATAAGCATAACAACATATGCACTAGATTATTCATGTAACAAAGATTCAAGCCAAATGTTGACATGAAATAGATATGATAAATTTGACATGCGCATTTTAGGAGCAATTCATCATAGCCACCTGTCACAAACCAATCAAAATGTTAGTGCAGGCATAAATCAAATAAAGCCAGAGACATACGAACCGATAGAAAAATATTCCAGAAGAAATCTCCAACACGCTTTGATGTCAGGAAATTGGGCATATCAGATAAGGACTCATTCAAAATATCACAGTGGCAGGGCCCGACCTGATCTGAAATGAATGTTCCCAATACCACAGCCACCCTACAATCTGAAAATAAACTCTTGGTACAAACAACATAACATGTCTTGCACATATAGTTCCATAATTCCACCAAAATAATGTTGAGCACTCATGTCCTCTCTACATAGTAGAAGTCCTTTTGAAGAAAACTGACGGAACCCACCTGAAGAAGATGGTGACTTGGGTAACCCGGCAAGTTCTTTCGATTCCGTATCCTTTCCAACTTCATCATTAACTGAAGAGCCACCCAAATCTCCTACAAAAAGACAAATCACAAAAATCAGCATGAACCATAATGTGCAATTGCAAAACACATCATTTATCCACCAATAGCATCACCATAATAGTTAAATACTTTTTTTTTCTAACTACCATTAACAACGAACAGGCCATATTTCTGCAAACATTCCTGTAACAATTAGCCCTAAAATAAAAGGCCCAAGTTTTAGCCTTAAATTTTTAATTTTGTTAAAATTTTATTTCTTTTTAACAAAGTAGCAATAACACTGAACAGGACATCTTGTCTGATTACACAACAAATTTAACGTTGAAGTTTTTTGAACCTTACTAAATCACGTTATCTCTGGTAACGTTATCATAATAGTAGAACCCTAAAATAAAAATCCCCAAGTCGTAATACTAGAAATTCAATTTTATTTTTCAAAACAGGCAACATTAACACCCAAAAGACCATCTTCCAGATTAAATTACAAATTCGAAAGTTATTTCATGTACCGGTACCAGAACAGCTGAACCCTAAATTTAAAAAACCCAACTCCTAACCCTAAAAAAATCCAATATTTTTTCCAAAAAAAACCGACTCAGCAACACATCAAAACCCTACCAAATCCAACACAGCGAAAAACATGTACCAGAGGGTTCCGCGGAGAGATCGAGCTTGACGCGACGACCGGCGTTGCTGATAGCTGCCATGGTTCGATCCCTTCTCTTCCCCATCGTTTCAGTGATTGGTTGTTGATTAATTTGATGATTAATTAATTGCGAATTCTTTGAGCTCTGCAGCTTCTTCTTCAAGAAGTTAGTTGCTCTTCGATCGAAACGGCGAAGTGCAGGAGCTCATATATATACTAGGGGGAATCGAAAATAATTAAAAATTTCAGGGCTATCTTGAAATTTTCTTACTCACGATTTTACATTTTTTTTTTAGTACAAATTATAGAAAATTAAGGGAAATTTTTATATTAATATGTGAAAAAAAATATTAATTTGAGCATGTATGGTCTTATATAACTACCCTTTGATGTGAGCAAACAAAAATATATGGTATTTGTTAATTGACACAACGATATCATATCTCGATCAATTTCATGTTACGAGTTTATGACAATTACATATGGACATGAGTATAACAAAGTTCATCTACGACAATTCTCAAAAAGTATATTAAAATACGTTAAATTTAAACTAATTCTAAATTTTTTTATATTTTCTTAAAGTTTTAAGATTTTAATCGAATTTTCTCTATTAAGATATTATCTTGCATTTTTATCACAATGAAAAGGGATGATTGTTAAACATATATATATATATTAAACTCTTTATAGTGATATTCTATATAAGAATGATTTTTATATAGTTATAAAAATTTTAATCTCAACTTGGTGCCAATTATAAATAAGAATAAATTTTATATTGTAATAAGTTATAATTTCGTATAGTCATAAAAATTATGATCCCAACTTGATACCAGATATAAATAAAAATAAATTTTACATTATAATAAGTTGTGATTTTTTTAGGTCTCGTTTTAAAGAACTTGTCTCTATATAGTAATAATTATATGTATATTGCAAAAAATATATGTTATGTTATATTAAAGGTTTAAGATGAAATAAAATATTTACTTAAAATTGTTTGGGACCATGATTTATCCTTTAGAGTTGTTATCACATATTTTATCTTGCGGGTACATGATAAGTCTCTAGCATAGACTAGGGGTGTTCAAAAAAATGCAAAAACAGAAGCAAGCCCATAACAGAACCAAAAAATCGGTTAACCAAAAAAACGATTCGGTTACGGTTCAAAAAATTCAAAAAATTGGATTTTTAGTTCGGGAAAAAATAAAAGGCGTTTAACTGAAACCGGTTTTACAAATATGTATATTATATATTAAATAAAAATAAAAATAAAAATTATATATTATATATTAAATAATAATATAATATATTATATATTAAACAAAAAATAATAATATTTTTAATGTATTGTTAACCGTGGTCAATATATATGTATGAATATTTAATTTTTATTTGGATATGTATTGTTTATATTTACAATTTAATTTAGGAAAAAAAAATTTATAAAAAAAGGGAAAACCGATTAACAGAAAAATTGGTTTTCCCTCAAAACCAATTTGGTTTCGGTTTGAGAATTTTTTCAAACAGAAAAACCGGTTCAGTTCAAAACTGGTTAACCACTTTTGAATACCTCTAGCATGAACACCTTCTTGTTGAAGCAAAAATATAGTTCCAGCTTTTGAGGCATGTTTAAAGCTTTTTGGCACAAAACTTTTGATATTTTCATATTATTATCATCAAGATTATCTCATTCCTCTTCTTGTTTAATTTCAATAATGATTTTTTTTTCTGTTAAAGCGTACACGACTTGTTGTTCATTTGGATGATTGATGATTGAGGAAAATATTAATATCCATTTAATTACTGTAGTGAAATTATCGAATCTGATCACTTAATTCTATAATGATTCTTTGATATTCATTTCTATACTATTCTAATGGTACTAAAACAATGAATTAAAATTCTAATACTATTAAAACAAAAAGTGAAACTCTAATACAACTAAAACATGAAATGAAATTCTAATACTATTAAAAAATAAATTATAAAACAAGAAATAAAAATAATAATTTTTTAATAAAAAAATCTCTTGTAATTATACTCCTATCAAGTTATAATCTTTTTTTATATATATAAAATATTTTTTCTCGGGCCGGGCTGAAGAATTAACTAGAAACCCACAACCTTAGCCGAGTCACAGAAACCACCCTACCCTATACGACGTCGGATCTACTCTCTCCTTGTTCTCATCCCGGTGTCCTTGGCAAAATCAAATTCGTCTCCATCAACACCCTCATGTTCTCTTTCTTTATCATTTTACTTACACACGCAACTCGTCAAATAAATAAATAAATAAATAAATAAAATAAAATAAAAATAAATTTAAATTCATATAAAATTGATACTCTTCTTTTAAATTTCAATTATTTATTTTATTCTCCATAATTGCCACTCTCTCCTCGTCATCTGCGTCTCTATATAAAGGTAACGAATAACTCCGCATAATCCGTTTGTTTCCCGAGAAAACAAAAAAAAGTTTTCTTTTTTTCTTTTTTCTAAAATCTCAATTTCTCTTGCTTTTCTCTGCAACCAAACGGATCGCTACGCTCTTGTTAGTTGTTTAATCCTTGTTGTTGCTAGATCTGTTCGCTTGTTTATTTGCTTTGGTTAGTTTTGTTCGTTGAGTTTTAGGATATTAGATCGTTTGTTTTCTTCGTTAATTTGCTGAAATTTTGTTTTCTAGTGATTGATTTTGGTAATTGAATGAAATTGTTGGTGTTAATTGTTGAAAGGAATAAACTTTGGTCTTGAATCGTTATTTGTTTAGGCTGAATTGAATATAACGGTGAAGTAAACTGATTTCGGTTACTTATTATTTTAATATATTTGAATCGGTTTTGCTTACAAATTTTGTGTATTTATTGGTGTTTCGATTGTTTGTAGTATGTGCCCGCGAAATCATGCTGAATTTTGATTGTTTTTTATACGTTTTGTGTGGGGCAGTGATGGATTACTGGTTTAATTTGTGAATGCAGAGAGTGTTGGGAGTTACAGGTTTAAACAAACTAAGGGGGTTGGTTTTGGGTGAAGAGAAACAGGAAATGGTTAAAAGGTTTGCTATAAATAAGAATCTGTTTATTTATTGTCGAATATAAGAAAAAGTGTTATTTATTTGTTTATTTTTTCTATTTTGTATAGGTATGGAGTGTTTTGATGTGCAGAAACTATCATGTTGCAGTGCATAGAGGGATTTAAGCATGTCTGTGCTTCCCTATTGCGGTGTTGTGATCTTGATTTGTACAAACAGTCAAGAGGCCTTGAAGATCCTGAAGTTCTAGCAAGAGAGACAGTGTGTATGCCACTAACTATTTTTCTTTCTTAATGACATTATGTTTTATCTGTTGTTTGGTACTGTATATTGTTTGACTTTTGCTTGTGTTTTAGACAAGGTTTTGGACACAAACATGTGAATATATCACAAATGAACTATAACATATTTAACATATTCACTCATGCTAATTGTTCACCCTTTAGTTTTCATTCGAAAGAACAATTGAATGGTTATACTGAAGATTGTTTTTCTGCTCACATGGATGCAGTTAGTGTAAGTGAAATCGAGGCACTTTATGAACTCTTTAAGAAGATCAGCAGTGCTGTGATTGATGACGGGTTGATTAACAAGGTTTGTTTGATTCTTAGGCATGATTTTGTTATATGTTTAGGCTTGAAAATGTTTGAAGTCAATTTTCTTCATATATGGTAAATGACTCCTATTCCATAGATTTCTTTACTCACACAGATGATAATTTTCCCATATTATATCATTTAGATTTTGAGTTTGTTCCTATACTATCCTGTTACAGGAGGAGTTCCAATTGGCGTTATTCAAGACAAACAAAAAGGAGAGCTTGTTTGCTGATCGGGTACTCTTGATTTCAATCTCATCGTTTAACTTGAACATGTTGTTAATAAATTTCTGAAACTTCATGTGATTCACTGTTATTTTATTGTAATCGATTGCAGGTTTTTGACTTGTTTGATACAAAGCACAACGGAATACTAGGTTTTGAAGAGTTTGCTCGTGCTCTGTCTGTTTTCCATCCAAATGCCCCTATTGACGATAAAATTGAGTGTATGTTAAAATTTTTTTCTCATTCTAATTTCTTTTTAACTTTCGAGAAGTAATGGTAATTTCTTAAGACACAAATTGACTTTCTGAGTAGTTACTAATTATATTCTCATAAATGTGAAATTTGAGCAGTTAGTGGGATTTTGAATTCTATATTCGGTTTGTCATTTTCAAATTATATGTTTGCTTCTTGTTTTTTATTTTCTCTGTTAACTTCTTGGTATCACAATACAGTTTCTTTTCAACTTTACGATCTCAAGCAACAAGGTTTCATTGAGAGGCAGGAGGTAAATACAATTTGCAGTCTACTTCTATTGTCCAGGATTTATTAGAACTTCTTGTTTTCCTACTAGACAATTCAGTTTTTTGTTATATTTTTCTCACATGAAGGTGAAGCAAATGGTAGTAGCTACACTTGCTGAATCTGGTATGAACCTTTCAGACGATGTTATAGAAAGTATAATTGACAAGGTGCTTCTCAACCTAATATAATTTTTATGAGGTCCTTATATCAACTACTGTGTTTGTTATGGATCAGATTCAAATTATTAACTTTCAAGCTTTGTTTACAGACCTTTGAGGAAGCAGATACAAAACATGACGGGAAGATTGACAAGGAAGAGTGGAGAAGCCTCGTTTTGCGACATCCTTCCCTTCTGAAGAATATGACCCTTCAATACCTCAAGTGAGTTGAAAATATGTTTACATCTCTGCTGATTGCATTTAATGAAAACAAATGTAGTTGACATTCACCCTGGCAAACAGTGAATAATGACGTAAACAAATAATAATTTATACTTGTGGAAACTCATGGGGTAGTTGACATTTATAATAGGGTGTGAAAAAATATTAAAGGGACTGGTGATCTTCATGTTCCACGTTGACATGAACTGATAAATTTTGACTAAACCTATGGTAACACATCAAGAAGTTGGACTCAAATTTTAAACATGATGTGATCCTGATTTTTCATCTGTGGTTCAAATTCATAGAATGACAATGTTTGCTGTTCTCGCATCGGAACTCTTCTTTATTCATAAGCTAATCATAGAGGTTATGGGAATCAGGGTTAATTCTTTTATGTTGCTAGTTCTCTTTTCAGACGTCATGAAGTTAATACATAAAAAAAATATCTAGTCTCCAAAATTAAGTTTTTTGATAATGAATTAGTTGCATCAGCTTTGGATATGATTTCTTTCTTTTTCTTGAGCAGGGACATCACCACAACGTTCCCAAGTTTTGTGTTCCATTCGCGAGTTGAGGATACCTGAACGCCGTCAAGCTCAAAATTCATTGTTTAATTATGTTTTGTTTCTTTGTAGACAATATGGCTCTCGCGTATGTGAAGGGCCTTAGAGAGAGTTTGTGCATTGTATTAGTTGCTTTTTTATTGATTTTTGATTGCGTGTATTTATTTTCAAATACTAGTATTTTATTTCCTTTTGGGTATTCTGGGTTTTGGTGCACTCATGTATATTCAAGATTGTTTTATTCTAGTGTTTATCCATTATTTTGTTGAGATTACTTGGACATTTTGAGTGCATATAGATATTCTTGAGCTATAGACTGCAAACCCTTTTCTGTTACACCCCAAATGGTACAGTGTATGTTTATGAAGCAATTTACGACAGGTTTTATGACTCAAATCTTTTGAAGGAATTCTTCGTTTGGCGAAAGAAGCCATCCTTCTATCTCTACTTGATCACAGCTTGAATTGCCATAAGTAGAGGGTTCATCAATTATGGCCTCTTGACTGTTAAGTATCGCTTCAAGGATGATCAGACTGAGCCGCTCAAAGTAAAGGCTTCATCAGGTACGGCCCCTCAACCTTTTAACTATTATAGCGAGAAATTATCAAGCTGAGAAGGCCAGAGAGGAGAGGGCTCGTTGGTTATAGTCTCTCTACCCTGATGGACCATTAATTATCATATTGAGTTGCCACAAAGAAAGATGTTTGTGCAAGAGTGTGGGTACTTTTTTAGGGGTTTGATTTAATGTACACACTAAATTGCCAACATTAGTTTTAAAAAAAAAAAAATGACGGAAGATTAAGTTGATTACAAGGATTATAGTTTGAATGCACAATGATTATATTTTTATCTTTCTTCCCCACCCCAACCACCGCGGGCCTCTCATCCTCAGAAACACCCTTCTTCTTCTTCTTCTCACTCTCCACCTTCTCTCCAAACATAGCCACTGGCCTTGGAAACTCCGGTTCTTCATCACTCAAATCCTCTCCACCCAAACGCTGACCACTCCCTCCTTCCAGCGATATATTATCTGGCGTCGACCGCCCTCGTGATTGCCTCATTCTCTCCCTCTTTGCCCTAATTGCTTCTATTGTAGCCTTATCAGGAATCAAGTCTTTCCCTTTGGCAATCCCCATCGAACGAATCTCTTCTCCGTATCATCTTTATTATCAGAACCGGAATCCAAAGAAACCTTAGGGTAAGGGTGCATTGAGGGGGAGACAGTGGAGAAGAACACAGCGGTTGCAACAGGCCGAATCGCATCCCGCCAGGCGTGGCCGGATGGAGGAGAGAGATGCTCCCTGTCACTTGCCGTCGGAATAGTTACAGGGCTAGGGATGGGAGATAAGCAGGTCGGATATGTCATTGGGTCTGAAAAATGTGCGGTGAAATAGCGAAGAAGAAGAAGAAGAAGAAGAGAAGGAGGTTTTGTTGGAGATGGAAGCGAAAATGAGAAGAGAGAGTTAAGGAAAAGAATGAGAGTTTCTTTGGGTTTTGGTTGGGATTTTGATGGGCTGGAGTGGCCACGGATGAGAAGAGCCAGACTATATTAAATAGATTTAACGAAGATCAACGTTCATGCTTATATGCCCAACCCAACCTATACTTAAGTTCCTTCTTCTCCCAAGATTTAGTTCTTGGATGCTGAAATAACACATCCTATTTGGATTAGAAGGTAGTCAGGTTTGCAATTCCTCAGTTAGTAGGACCTATACATAACTAACGTGAGATTGTTGTGAACTGACCAATTACAAGTTGTCACGTTAAAAATGTAAGAAAAAATTTATAAGATAAGATTGTTAGTATAATATTATTCTTCTAAATCATTTCATCTTTTATTTGTTAGAGATAAATTGTATCAGTATTATAGAATTCTATCGGGTCAAATGGAGATAATGTTCTCTAAATATAATATCTTCTTCTTCTCTTAAATTAGACTTTCGATATGTCAATTTTACTGTATGGAACAAACGTACATTTGAAGTGCAAGTTGAAGTGGCTCAATTAAATGGGATTGAGTTCTTTTTTAAGGTGTTTTTGCGAACATAAGCCTGGTGGATTTGTGAGGGATTCGTTGTTGGAGCTAACAAGAAACCCCTCTAAAGATTATGTTTTATGTGCAAGTAGAAATTGTTCCGATCTATTTCACAATGAACATGTATTAAGATAACTTAGGCTTCGTTTGGCTCACATTTGGGAATATTACTATTAGTATTCCCAATAAAGTTAAACAGTAAAATTATAAAAACTCACAATATTATTCAACTTTGTTTAAACCCTTTAAATTTATTAATTTAATTAAAAACCCTTAAATATTTTTTTAGGTTTACCAGATTCTGACCACCACCAATTGAAAAATGGCTGGAATCTGGTATAATGACGCACTATCGGCTGAATCTAGCCGATAGTGAGTCAATCTAGTATTTTCCGGCCAGATGGCCAGATCGAAGGCCAAAGATCTGGCCGTTGACGACCGTAGTCAGTCGTCAACGACGGTCGACACATGGTCATCGTTGACCATCAACGACGGCCTTATCGCAAATGCGGCCAGATTCACCATGGATCTGGTCGAAAAAAGGTCATATCGGTGCACGATCGACAAGATCCAACCGATCATGTGCCAATATGACGACTTCGACCACCCTCCGACGGTGGTGGCCAGTTGTCTATATTTAATAGGTAGATTAGATGTGTTTTTGTTAATTTTTAATATTTTATTATAAGGGTGTTTAATAAATAAACAAACATGAGAGGTATTTAGTAAATTAACAAATATAAAAGGTATTTTTATTTATTTTCAAATTCTACATCGTAATACCTGCTTAATTTAACTTTTTTCTAAAAACATTTTTAAAATGTGTAAAAAAGTGAACCAAACAGTCTTATATTCTTTAAGTTAAATAATGATTGCATAATACTACAACAACAATTCTTTCACAATTCTTTCACAATTCTAACATAACCACATCAAAGCTACAAGAGAAAATTGATGTGAAAAGATTGTTAATATAATATGAAAAATGCTAATTTTACCCAGACACATATAGAAAAAATATACAAAGACAATCTCCACCCTTAATTTTAATGATTTTTTCTATTTCTTTATTTTTTGTCACTTCGTAACCCTTAATTTTAATGATTTTTTTTTTTTTGATTATCCTTTAGAGTTGTTATCACATATTTTATCTTGCGGGTACATGATAAGTCTCTAGCATAGACTAGGGGTGTTCAAAAAATGCAAAAACAGAAGCAAGCCCATAACAGACCAAAAAAATGGTTAACCAAAAAAACGATTCGGTTACGGTTCAAAAAATTCAAAAAATTGGATTTTTAGTTCGGGAAAAAATAAAAGGCGTTTAACTGAAACCGGTTTTACAATATGATATTATATATAATAAAAATAAAAATAAAAATTATATATTTATATTAAATAATAATATAATATATATATATTAAACAAAAATAATAATATTTTTAATGTATTGTTAACCGTGGTCAATATATATGTATGAATATTTAATTTTTATTTGGATATGTATTGTTATATTTACAATTTAATTTAGGAAAAAAAATTTATAAAAAAGGGAAACCGATTAACAGAAAAATTGGTTTTCCCTCAAAACCAATTTGGTTTCGGTTTGAGAATTTTTTCAAACAGAAAAACGGTTCAGTTCAAAACTGGTTAACCATTTTGAATACCTCTAGCATGAACACCTTCTTGTTGAAGCAAAATATAGTTCCAGCTTTTGAGGCATGTTTAAAGCTTTTTGGCACAAAACTTTTGATATTTTCATATTATTATCATCAAGATATCTCATTCCTCTTCTTGTTTAATTTCAATAATGATTTTTTTTTGAAAGCGTACACGACTTGTGGTTATTGGATGATTGATGATTGAGGAAATATTAATATCCATTTAATTACTTAGTGAAATATCGAATACTGATCACTTAATTCTATAATGATTCTTTGATATTATTATTTCTATACTATTCTAATGGTACTAAAACAAGAATTAAAATTCTAATACTATTAAAACAAAAAGTGAAACTATATACAACTAAAACATGAAATGAAATTCTAATACTATTAAAAAAAATTATAACAAGAAATAAAAATAATAATTTTTTAATAAAAAAATCTCTTGTAATTATACTTACAAGTTATAATCTTTTTTTATATATATAAATATTTTTTCTCGGGCCGGGCTGAAGAAAACTAGAAACCCACAACCTTAGCCGAGTCACAGAAACCACCCTACCCTATACGACGTCGGATCTACTCTCTTGTTCTCATCCGGTGTCCTTGGCAAAATCAAATTCGTCTCCATCAACACCCTCATGTTCTCTTTCTTATCATTTTACTTACACACGCAACTCGTCAAATAAATAAATAAATAAATAAATAAAATAAAATAAATTTAAATTCATAAAAATTGATACTCTTCTTTTAAATTTCAATTATTTATTTATTCTCCATAATTGCCACTCTTCCTCGTCATCTGCGTCTCTATATAAAGGTAACGAATAACTCCGCATAATCCGTTTGTTTCCCGAGAAAACAAAATAAAGTTTTCTTTTTTTTTTCTTTTTCTAAAATCTCAATTTCACTTGCTTATCTCTGCAACCAAACGGATCGCTACGCTCTTGTTAGTTGTTTAATCCTTGTTGTTGCTAGATCTGTTCGCTTGTTTATTTGCTTTGGTTAGTTTTGTTCGTTGAGTTTTAGGATCTTAGATCATTTGTTTTCTTCGTTAATTTGCTGAAATTTTGTTTTCTAGTGATTGATTTTGGTAATTGAATGAAATTGTTGGTGTTAATTGTTGAAAGGAATAAACTTTGGTCTTGAATCGTTATTTGTTTAGGCTGAATTGAATATAACGGTGAAGTAAACTGATTTCGGTTAGTTATTATTTTAATATATTTGAATCGGTTTTGCTTATAATTTTGTGTATTATTGGTGTTTCGATTGTTTGTAGTATGTGCCCGCGAAATCATGCTGAATTTTGATTGTTTTTTATACGTTTTGTGTGGGGCAGTGATGGATTACTGGTTTAATTGTGAATGCAGAGAGTGTTGGGAGTTACAGGTTTAAACAAACTAAGGGGGTTGGTTTTGGGTGAAGAGAAACAGGAAATGGTTAAAAGGTCTTCTGTTCTTGCTATAAATAAGAATCTGTTTATTTATTGTCGAATATAAGAAAAAGTGTTATTTATTTGTTTATTTTTTCTATTTTGTATAGGTATGGAGAGTTTGATGTGCAGAAACTATCATGTTGCAGTGCATAGAGGGATTTAAGCATGTCTGTGCTTCCCTATTGCGGTGTTGTGATCTTGATTTGTACAAACAGTCAAGAGGCCTTGAAGATCCTGAAGTTCTAGCAGAGGAGACAGTGTGTATGCCACTAACTATTTTTCTTTCTTAATGACATTATGTTTTATCTGTTGTTTGGTACTGTATATTGTTTGACTTTTGCTGTGTTTTAGACAAGGTTTTGGGCACAAACATGTGAATATATCACAAATGAACTATGACATATTTGACATATCACTCATGCTAATTGTTCACCCTTTAGTTTTCATTCGAAATAACAATTGAATGGTTATACTGAAGATTGTTTTTCTGCTCACATGGATGCAGTTAGTGTAAGTGAAATCGAGGCACTTTATGAACTCTTTAAGAAGATCAGCAGTGCTGTGATTGATGACGGGTTGATTAACAAGGTTTGTTTGATTCTTAGGCATGATTTTTTTATGTTTAGGCTTGAAAATGTTTGCAGTCAATTTCTTCATATGGTAAATGACTCCTATTCCATAGATTTCTTTACTCACACAGATGATAATTTTCCCATATTATATCATTTAGATTTTGAGTTTGTTCCTTACTATCCTGTTACAGGAGGAGTTCCAATTGGCGTTATTCAGACAAACAAAAAGGAGAGCTTGTTTGCTGATCGGGTACTCTTGATTTCAATCTCATCATTTAACTTGAACATGTTGTTAATAATATTCTGAAACTTCATGTGATTCACTGTTATTTTATTGTAATTGATTGCAGGTTTTTGACTTGTTTGATACGAAGCACAACGGAATACTAGGTTTTGAAGAGTTTGCTCGTGCTCTGTCTGTTTTCCATCCAAATGCCCCTATTGACGATAAATTGAGTGTATGTTAAAATTTTTTTCTCATTCTAATTTCTTTTTAACTTTCGAGAAGTAATGGTAATTTCTTAAGACACAATTGACTTTCTGAGTGTTACTAATTATATTCTCATAAATGTGAAATTTGAGCAGTTAGTGGGATTTTGAATTCTATATTCGGTTTGTCATTTTCAAATTATATGTTTGCCTGTTGTTTTTATTTTCTCTGTTAACTTCTGGTATCACAATACAGTTTCTTTTCAACTTTACGATCTCAAGCAACAAGGTTTCATTGAGAGGCAGGAGGTAAATACAATTTGCAGTCTACTTCTATTGTCCAGGATTTATTAGAACTTCTTGTTTTCCTACTAGACAATTCAGTTTTTTGTTATATTTTTCTCACATGAAGGTGAAGCAAATGGTAGTAGCTACACTTGCTGAACTGGTATGAACCTTTCAGACGATGTTATAGAAAGTATAATTGACAAGGTGCTTCTCAACCTGATGTAATTTTTGTGAGGTCTTATATCATCTACTGTGTTTGTTATGGATCAGATTCAAATTATTAACTTTCAGCTTTGTTTACAGACCTTTGAGGAAGCAGATACAAAACATGACGGAAGATCGACAAGGAAGAGTGGAGAAGCCTCGTTTTGCGACATCCTTCCCTTCGAAGAATATGACCCTTCAATACCTCAAGTGAGTTGAAAATATGTTTACATCTCTGCTGATTGCATTTAATGAAACAAATGTAGTTGACATTCACCCTGGCAAACAGTGAATAATGACGTAAAGAAATATAATTTATACTTGTGGAAACTCATGGGTAGTTGACATTTATAATAGGGTGTGAAAAAATATTAAAGGGACTGGTGATCTTCATGTTCCACGTTGACATGAACTGATAAATTTTGACTAAACCTATGGTAACACAAGAAGTTGGACTCAAATTTAAACATGATGTGATCCTGATTTTTCATCTGTATTTCAAATTCATAGAATGACAATGTTTGCTGTTCTCGCATCGGAACTCTTTATCATAAGCTAATCATAGAGGTTATGGGAATCAGGGTTAATTCTTTATGTTGCTAGTTCTTTTTCAGACGTCATGAAGTTAATACATAAAAAAAATATCTAGTCTCCAAAATTAAGTTTTTTGATAATGAATTAGTTGCATCAGCTTTGGATATGATTTCTTTCTTTTCTTGAGCAGGGACATCACCACAACGTTCCCAAGTTTTGTGTTCCATTCGCGAGTTGGGATACCTGAAAGCCGTCAAGCTCAAAATTCATTGTTTAATTATGTTTTGTTTCTTTGTAGACAATATGGCTCTCGCGTATGTGAAGGGTCTTAGAGAGAGTTTGTGCATTGTATTAGTTGCTTTTTTATGATTTTTGATTGCGTGTATTTATTTTCAAATACTAGTATTTTATTTCCTTTTGGGTATTCTGGGTTTTGGTGCATCATGTATATTCAGAGTGTTTTATTCTGGTTTATCCATTATTTGTTGAGATTACTTGACATTTTGAGTGCATATAGATATTCTTGAGCTATAGACTGCAAACCCTTTTCTGTGACACCCCAATGGTACAGTGTCTGTTTATGAAGCAATTTACGATAGGTTTATGACTCAAATTTTGAAGGAATTCTTCGTTTGGCGAAAGAAGCCATCCTTCTATCTCTACTTGATCACAGCTTGAATTGCCATAAGTAGAGGGTTCATCAATTAGGCCTCTTGACTGTAAGTATCGCTTCAAGGATGATCAGACTGAGACGCTCAAAGTAAAGGCTTCATCAGGTACGGCCCTCAACCTTTTAACTATTATAGCGAGAAATTATCAAGCTGAGAAGGCCAGAGAGGAGAGGGCTCGTTGGTATGTTCTCTTAAGCTAAGTATGACCGAACCTCATATTTCTGGTCCCTTTAAACCTAAGTAAGAATGGTTGCAGAATCCACAAATTACCTGCTTCCCATCATCAACTGCAGAGTTTTCCACAACAGCTTGTTGAAGTTGTCCATTTGATTCTTCATCAATTTCATCATCACTATATTGTCCAAGCAATAGCAGCGGATTCTGTTGTGTCTGACCTGTAGACAAAACATAGTGTTGTCAAAAACCTTCAAAACTAATGCTTCATATACGTGGCAACAAAGCATATCCATATATAAGCATAACAACATATGCACTAGATTATTCATGTAACAAAGATTCAAGCCAAATGTTGACATGAAATAGATATGATAAATTTGACATGCGCATTTTAGGAGCAATTCATCATAGCCACCTGTCACAAACCAATCAAAATGTTAGTGCAGGCATAAAGCAAATAAAGCCAGAGACATACGAACCGATAGAAAAATATTCCAGAAGAAATCTCCAACACGCTTTGATGTCAGGAAATTGGGCATATCAGATAAGGACTCATTCAAAATATCACAGTGGCAGGGCCCGACCTGATCTGAAATGAATGTTCCCAATACCACAGCCACCCTACAATCTGAAAATAAACTCTTGGTACAAACAACATAACATGTCTTGCACATATAGTTCCATAATTCCACCAAAATAATGTTGAGCACTCATGTCCTCTCTACATAGTAGAAGTCCTTTTGAAGAAAACTGACGGAACCCACCTGAAGAAGATGGTGACTTGGGTAACCCGGCAAGTTCTTTCGATTCCGTATCCTTTCCAACTTCATCATTAACTGAAGAGCCACCCAAATCTCCTACAAAAAGACAAATCACAAAAATCAGCATGAACCATAATGTGCAATTGCAAAACACATCATTTATCCACCAATAGCATCACCATAATAGTTAAATACTTTTTTTTTCTAACTACCATTAACAACGAACAGGCCATATTTCTGCAAACATTCCTGTAACAATTAGCCCTAAAATAAAAGGCCCAAGTTTTAGCCTTAAATTTTTAATTTTGTTAAAATTTTATTTCTTTTTAACAAAGTAGCAATAACACTGAACAGGACATCTTGTCTGATTACACAACAAATTTAACGTTGAAGTTTTTTGAACCTTACTAAATCACGTTATCTCTGGTAACGTTATCATAATAGTAGAACCCTAAAATAAAAATCCCCAAGTCGTAATACTAGAAATTCAATTTTATTTTTCAAAACAGGCAACATTAACACCCAAAAGACCATCTTCCAGATTAAATTACAAATTCGAAAGTTATTTCATGTACCGGTACCAGAACAGCTGAACCCTAAATTTAAAAAACCCAACTCCTAACCCTAAAAAAATCCAATATTTTTTCCAAAAAAAACCGACTCAGCAACACATCAAAACCCTACCAAATCCAACACAGCGAAAAACATGTACCAGAGGGTTCCGCGGAGAGATCGAGCTTGACGCGACGACCGGCGTTGCTGATAGCTGCCATGGTTCGATCCCTTCTCTTCCCCATCGTTTCAGTGATTGGTTGTTGATTAATTTGATGATTAATTAATTGCGAATTCTTCGAGCTGTGCAGCTTCTTCTTCAAGAAGTTAGTTGCTCTTCGATCGAAACGGCGAAGTGCAGGAGCTCATATATATACTAGGGGGAATCGAAAATAATTAAAAATTTCAGGGCTATCTTGAAATTTTCTTACTCACGATTTTACATTTTTTTTTTAGTACAAATTATAGAAAATTAAGGGAAATTTTTATATTAATATGTGAAAAAAAATATTAATTTGAGCATGTATGGTCTTATATAACTACCCTTTGATGTGAGCAAACAAAAATATATGGTATTTGTTAATTGACACAACGATATCATATCTCGATCAATTTCGTATTACGAGTTCATGACAATTACATACAGACATGAGTATAGCAAAGTTCATCTACGACAATTTTCGAAAATTATATTAAAATACATTAAATTTAAACTAATTCTGAAAAAAATTATATTTTCTTAAAGTTTTAAGATTTAAATCGAATTTTATCTATTAAGATATTATCTTACATTTTTATCGCAATGAAAAGGGATGATTGCTAAAAAAAATATCAAAATCTGGTGTTATATAATTCATATTAACCTCTCTTAATGATATTATATATAAGAATAACTTTTATATAATTATAAAAATTCTAATCTCAACTTGGTATTAGTTATAAATAAGAATAAATTTTTGTATTGTAATAAGTTATAATTTTTATGTAATCATTAAAATCATAATCTCAGCTTGATATCCGATATAAATAAGAATAAATTTTACATTATAATAAGTTATAATTTTTTTAGGTCTCGTCTTAAAGAATTTGTCTCTACATAATAATAATTATACGTATATTACAAAAAATATATGTTATGTTACATTAAAGATTTGAGATAAAATAAAATATTTATTTAAAATTGTTTAGGACCATAATTTATCCTTTAGAGTTGTTATCACATATTTTATCTTGCGGGTACGTGATAAGTCTCTAGCATAGACACTTTATTGTTGAAGCAAAAATATAGTTCCAGCTTTTGAGGCATGTTTAAAGTTTTTTGATACGAAACTTTTGGTATTTCCATATTATCATTATTAGGATTATCTCATTCTTTTTCTTGTTTAGTTTTAGTAATGATTTCTTCTTCGGTTAAAGCGTACACGACTTGTTGCTCATTTAGATGATTGATGATTGAGGAAGATATTAATATCTATTTGATTAGTGTAGTAAAGTTATCGAATCTAATAACTCAATTCTACGATGACTCTTTGATACTCATTTTCATACTATTCTAATAGTACTAAAATAATGAATTAAAATCCTAATACTATTAAAACAAAAGGTAAAATTCTAATCCAACTAAAACATGAAATAAAATCCTAATACTATTAAAAAAATAAATTATAACATAAGAAATAAAAACAATAATTTTTTAATGAAAAAATCTCTTGTAATTATACTTCTATCAAGTTATAACATTTTTTATATATATATAAAAAATATTTTTTCTAATATTTTTTCTCGGGCCGGGCTGAATATTTCTAAAAACCCACAACCTTAGCCGAGTCACAAAAACCACCCTATACTATACGACGTCGGATCTACTCTCTCCTTGTTCTCATCCTTGTGTCCTTGGCAAAATCAAATTCGTCTCCATCAACATCCTCATGTTCTCTTTCTTTATCATTTTACTTACACACGCAACTCGTCAAATAAATAAATAAATAAATAAATAAAATAAAATAAATTTAAATTTAAATTCATATAAAATTGATACTCTTCTTTTAAATTTCAATTATTTATTTTATTCTCCATAATTGCCACTCTCTCCTCGTCATCTGCGTCTCTATATAAAGGTAACGAATAACTCCGCATAATCCGTTTGTTTCCCGAGAAAACAAAAAAAAGTTTTCTTTTTTTCTTTTTTCTAAAATCTCAATTTCTCTTGCTTTTCTCTGCAACCAAACGGATCGCTACGCTCTTGTTAGTTGTTTAATCCTTGTTGTTGCTAGATCTGTTCGCTTGTTTATTTGCTTTGGTTAGTTTTGTTCGTTGAGTTTTAGGATATTAGATCGTTTGTTTTCTTCGTTAATTTGCTGAAATTTTGTTTTCTAGTGATTGATTTTGGTAATTGAATGAAATTGTTGGTGTTAATTGTTGAAAGGAATAAACTTTGGTCTTGAATCGTTATTTGTTTAGGCTGAATTGAATATAACGGTGAAGTAAACTGATTTCGGTTACTTATTATTTTAATATATTTGAATCGGTTTTGCTTACAAATTTTGTGTATTTATTGGTGTTTCGATTGTTTGTAGTATGTGCCCGCGAAATCATGCTGAATTTTGATTGTTTTTTATACGTTTTGTGTGGGGCAGTGATGGATTACTGGTTTAATTTGTGAATGCAGAGAGTGTTGGGAGTTACAGGTTTAAACAAACTAAGGGGGTTGGTTTTGGGTGAAGAGAAACAGGAAATGGTTAAAAGGTTTGCTATAAATAAGAATCTGTTTATTTATTGTCGAATATAAGAAAAAGTGTTATTTATTTGTTTATTTTTTCTATTTTGTATAGGTATGGAGTGTTTTGATGTGCAGAAACTATCATGTTGCAGTGCATAGAGGGATTTAAGCATGTCTGTGCTTCCCTATTGCGGTGTTGTGATCTTGATTTGTACAAACAGTCAAGAGGCCTTGAAGATCCTGAAGTTCTAGCAAGAGAGACAGTGTGTATGCCACTAACTATTTTTCTTTCTTAATGACATTATGTTTTATCTGTTGTTTGGTACTGTATATTGTTTGACTTTTGCTTGTGTTTTAGACAAGGTTTTGGACACAAACATGTGAATATATCACAAATGAACTATAACATATTTAACATATTCACTCATGCTAATTGTTCACCCTTTAGTTTTCATTCGAAAGAACAATTGAATGGTTATACTGAAGATTGTTTTTCTGCTCACATGGATGCAGTTAGTGTAAGTGAAATCGAGGCACTTTATGAACTCTTTAAGAAGATCAGCAGTGCTGTGATTGATGACGGGTTGATTAACAAGGTTTGTTTGATTCTTAGGCATGATTTTGTTATATGTTTAGGCTTGAAAATGTTTGAAGTCAATTTTCTTCATATATGGTAAATGACTCCTATTCCATAGATTTCTTTACTCACACAGATGATAATTTTCCCATATTATATCATTTAGATTTTGAGTTTGTTCCTATACTATCCTGTTACAGGAGGAGTTCCAATTGGCGTTATTCAAGACAAACAAAAAGGAGAGCTTGTTTGCTGATCGGGTACTCTTGATTTCAATCTCATCGTTTAACTTGAACATGTTGTTAATAAATTTCTGAAACTTCATGTGATTCACTGTTATTTTATTGTAATCGATTGCAGGTTTTTGACTTGTTTGATACAAAGCACAACGGAATACTAGGTTTTGAAGAGTTTGCTCGTGCTCTGTCTGTTTTCCATCCAAATGCCCCTATTGACGATAAAATTGAGTGTATGTTAAAATTTTTTTCTCATTCTAATTTCTTTTTAACTTTCGAGAAGTAATGGTAATTTCTTAAGACACAAATTGACTTTCTGAGTAGTTACTAATTATATTCTCATAAATGTGAAATTTGAGCAGTTAGTGGGATTTTGAATTCTATATTCGGTTTGTCATTTTCAAATTATATGTTTGCTTCTTGTTTTTTATTTTCTCTGTTAACTTCTTGGTATCACAATACAGTTTCTTTTCAACTTTACGATCTCAAGCAACAAGGTTTCATTGAGAGGCAGGAGGTAAATACAATTTGCAGTCTACTTCTATTGTCCAGGATTTATTAGAACTTCTTGTTTTCCTACTAGACAATTCAGTTTTTTGTTATATTTTTCTCACATGAAGGTGAAGCAAATGGTAGTAGCTACACTTGCTGAATCTGGTATGAACCTTTCAGACGATGTTATAGAAAGTATAATTGACAAGGTGCTTCTCAACCTAATATAATTTTTATGAGGTCCTTATATCAACTACTGTGTTTGTTATGGATCAGATTCAAATTATTAACTTTCAAGCTTTGTTTACAGACCTTTGAGGAAGCAGATACAAAACATGACGGGAAGATTGACAAGGAAGAGTGGAGAAGCCTCGTTTTGCGACATCCTTCCCTTCTGAAGAATATGACCCTTCAATACCTCAAGTGAGTTGAAAATATGTTTACATCTCTGCTGATTGCATTTAATGAAAACAAATGTAGTTGACATTCACCCTGGCAAACAGTGAATAATGACGTAAACAAATAATAATTTATACTTGTGGAAACTCATGGGGTAGTTGACATTTATAATAGGGTGTGAAAAAATATTAAAGGGACTGGTGATCTTCATGTTCCACGTTGACATGAACTGATAAATTTTGACTAAACCTATGGTAACACATCAAGAAGTTGGACTCAAATTTTAAACATGATGTGATCCTGATTTTTCATCTGTGGTTCAAATTCATAGAATGACAATGTTTGCTGTTCTCGCATCGGAACTCTTCTTTATTCATAAGCTAATCATAGAGGTTATGGGAATCAGGGTTAATTCTTTTATGTTGCTAGTTCTCTTTTCAGACGTCATGAAGTTAATACATAAAAAAAATATCTAGTCTCCAAAATTAAGTTTTTTGATAATGAATTAGTTGCATCAGCTTTGGATATGATTTCTTTCTTTTTCTTGAGCAGGGACATCACCACAACGTTCCCAAGTTTTGTGTTCCATTCGCGAGTTGAGGATACCTGAACGCCGTCAAGCTCAAAATTCATTGTTTAATTATGTTTTGTTTCTTTGTAGACAATATGGCTCTCGCGTATGTGAAGGGCCTTAGAGAGAGTTTGTGCATTGTATTAGTTGCTTTTTTATTGATTTTTGATTGCGTGTATTTATTTTCAAATACTAGTATTTTATTTCCTTTTGGGTATTCTGGGTTTTGGTGCACTCATGTATATTCAAGATTGTTTTATTCTAGTGTTTATCCATTATTTTGTTGAGATTACTTGGACATTTTGAGTGCATATAGATATTCTTGAGCTATAGACTG